GGCTTCCCTTATAGACTGATTCAACTATGTCCAGGAATTGGGGACTGCTCAAACTTGCCAGAATAATTTTCCATGTTTCAGTGGTACGCTAGGGCTTAAGGAGCCTTTGGTCAAATTCTGTAATAGAGACGTAGAGCAGCAATGTGAAGCTGGAGCTATGTTTTATTGCTAATTACGGTAAGATATGAGCTAGCTTGTCACTCCAAGGAGATTGGTAATGATGACTATCTATGAGTGGCTAAGTATCATTAATTAAAAACTTTCAACTTTTGATCAGATGACTTTGCACAGCATATGAAGACAGTAAAGAATGAGTTTAGATATTTATAGTGAAAGCAAAATATTTCAAGAATTGTGAACACAGATTGTGTGCACTCTGGTCGCATATGAGAATGTTATAATTATATAGATACATGCTTAATGTACAGTTTCCAACCACAGAAATTCAAAATGATTGCTCTATATGAGTTACATGATTATGATGGAATAAAATACTTGGTTGAAGATTTTTGCTTGTACTTTTATCTGTACTCATTGCCAAAACAGAGGATAGTTCTTCAAATAGGGAAGTTCATCTATGTTTTGTTGAGCTAAGAAAAGCAGAAAAGTATTGAATGCTTTGCAGGCATTAACTGGCTTGACAGGTGCTATGGAGGGCATAGGTCAGTAACTTAAGCTGACTAATATTCAGGAGCAAATACTGTTGTGATTTAGTATGTGAGTGCACTTTGAAATGGCTAATTATGCTCTAACAGATGATGAATTAACCAAAGTATTTTGTGAATAGATTAAGACTCTGGCAGAGATTTAGCACACTGACTAATAAGCCAGCGTATTAACTAGATTACACTATACTCCCTTGTACAAGTTTCCAAGCTCCAAGTTTTGGTAGGATCTATATTACAATTCCTTTTAAAGAAGGGCCCCATTTATGCACCTTCAAGCAGCTGCATAATTGCTTGTCAGTCTACAAGGCTAGGTACAGACATTGAAAAGCCTGAGGCAGAATCAATGTAAGTTATGCGATTTTCTGTAAGTAGTATAGTTTAGATCAGTAGCAAAGAAAACACACATTCTCCCTTTGGAGGGGACAGCAAATCTTTGACCAGGTTCTGCCTTTTTTAAACCGGTCTATTCATGCCAAACTTCTGTTCTGTTATGGGTATAGACTGGTTTCCAATCACTTATACTGGTATAAGTGTAATGTCTGTACCTGGACCAAGACTGGCATCTGTGTATGAAATAGCAAAAATAATGGTAATGTCTCACACAGATTCCATGACTTGTTGTCCTTCTTGATTACTTGAATTGCTGCTGCTAAAAATTCTGACTGGTGAAGAAACTGAGTACTGGTTGGGAATATTCAACTCATTTGCCCTCTGTACAATGTGGAAGAAGTCCCAAACAGACACTGCTGCTCAAAAGAATCTGAGTTTGCGTTCAGGGAGCATATATCAAGAATAGAATCTGTATTATTTGTGGGAGCATGGCAGCTACTATAAGATCAGTAACCTACTTTGTCGTTTTTGCTAATCACACATCTCTAACTTGTGTTTTAATCTTTTCTAATGTAGTGCCTTAATTTTAATGTAACAGTCTGATGTAAATTAGTAGAGAGGCTGTAACAAATATTTCTTTAAGTGAGGGGAAAATCGAGATAAATTAGATTTTAGCAATTTTTTATCACCAAATAATTTTATAACAAGTTAGAAATTTGGGGGAAGAAAAAAGTTAAATACAATGAAGTTTAGGTCCTGATTCTCCAATATAATTTCTTAATATAGTTCCTTGCAACTGTGGAGTCGTAGGCCATTTGTACACGCCACAAAATTGTCCTTTAAAGCAGTTTGATGGCCTTTTGCCCCGCTTTAACAGTGCAGCTGTTTGCACATGTGGGAGGCGTAATATGCATTAAGTGACTTCGGGACGCAGCAAAATAAAACATCTCCAAGGTGGTTTAGTTTGCTGAGGAGGGAAGCACCGGGCCCCGTGCATCTCAGGGGCTGTGCAGGCAGCCTGTGCAGACAGGCTTCGCTGAAGGAAAAAACAAACCAGCAGGCTTCATTTTTCTCCCAGGAACCTGCTTGAGCTGCATGGGGGCCCAGTGCTTCCTTCCACAGCTGCAGTACTCTCTAGGACCTCTAGGCCTGGGTGCTTGTAGGTGGGTGCTGCCTGGGGGTGCTGCCATGGAGGGAAGCAGCAGCCACTCCTCCCCGTTCCCTGTCTTCCCCCTTCCCCCCCACCAGTGCAGCTCAAGGACCACTTGGCCCGCTAGCAGTTTGCCCTCCCCTCCCCATCGCTAGAGAGGCAGGTAAGGGTCAGGCTCAACCCTTGTGTACATGCCATGGGGGTTTACATTGCTCTAAATTGAAGCAGTGCTTTTAAAGACCCATTGCTTCCATTTAGGGAGAATTAAACTGAAGTAAACCCCCGTGGCGTGTACAAACACACCTAATGACTCCCTGGATTCTTCAAAGGGGAGGTTTATGCCATCAGATTTCATTGTACGATTGGGAGTCAAAAACAGGTTTAGATGGATTGTAGGACTTCCAATGCAACATACTAGGCATAGGTCAGAACTATTTGAGGTTCTAGTCTTTCTTTGGGGAGATCAGTTGCTGCAGTCAAAGGTTGCCATCCTATTTAAGGTGGTAAGTGTTTATACTAGGACTCCAAATATGATTTGTAGGGATGTTTCTGACTACAATTCAGATGCGCTAGCAAATCGAGTAAGCTTTGGCTGTTTCTGCTCACACTATGATTAAGTCAGCTCCTGGCAATTTTTAGCTGCTGCCATAAAAAAGTTGGAGGCCTCGTGGACTATGTGATTATGGCATCCTCTCAATTGGTTGATTTAGATCAGTGGTGATTTAGATCTACCCGTGGCCTGCAGGATGGCTTTGGCTTGTGGAACTCTGTCATTTGGTTTGTGGAGCTCCCCAGGAGTCTGGAAGATAGCAGGGGAGCAGTGGCAGCATTAATTGCTGCAGAGCCAGTAGTTTAGATACATTGCTTTGGCCTGGGAAGCTGGTCCACCCCACCCATTCAGCCTGATGGAGGGGAGATGGGTTTGGCATACATGGATAATTTTTCTCTTTGAAAAATTCCACACTATATGTTTTTCCTTACTTGAGTGTGTTTGGCCATCACAGAAGGATCTAGAAGGATTCTGGATTCATTTATAATAGAATACATAGTTTTATTACTGAAATCTTGTTCAGTTGATTATATTAATATAGAGAGTGTTTGGTGAAAGCAGTAATAGTGAAAAGACAACTGAAAATCTCCAAAATCCCAGATATTTCTCTACAAAACTAAGAATAACATTTCCTGCAGAGTTGTTGCTTAAATTTCTGCAGATACTCCTGATATATTCAGGATTGGTCTTGCAGATTTCCTCCCCAAATAATTATTGCATTTTAGATGTAATAGTAAGAAATCTAACAAATACATTTGTTACTATTTTCATATGTAGTAATTGAAGAATAAATCCTATCAATAGGCTTTATTTTCATTCGCCATCTTAAGAATTTTTCTCAGTGGTATAAATTGTAACCTAGAACATACCAGTCTGAAAACCATTAGAGCAACACAGGAAAAAAAATTGTTAACTTGCCAGTGTCTAGAATGTAAATCAAAATTTTTTTATTGTTGCTTTTCAACTAGCAGCAAATAATTATTTAGAAATTCTAATACTTGTACAAAAATGAACGACACAGAAATGGATGGCGAAGAATACTATCTACAGAAATTTCACATTAACAAATGTATCTGGAAACTGTTTAAAACAAATTTGGGTAAAAAAAAGCATACTTTATCAGATTTTTTTTTAATGACGTCTACATTTAAGTAAATGTGTGCTTAAACATTAAAAAATGATCAGTGATTTTTTTTGTTTGCTTCATTTTGTGGATATCATTCTTGAGACACCTTCCAGGCACGCTTTCTGAAATACAGATCCCTTCAAGGTATGTTGTTGTGGACAATCCAAATTAACTAGGCACTCTTGAAATTATCATGCTTGTGCATGCTCATTCAAAACATGCTCTCATATTCATCAGCAATAATGAGTAGGAGATGCTGTGCAAGTTCTTCAACACAGTTTTGAAAATTCACCACAGCCCTGATTTACATCATTCTATTGTAGACATTGGCCTCACTTGATTAAAGACTACTGCTTCAACCAAATTTCTGTGGTGTGGCTTGTGTCTGATAGGAACTGTGATGATACCAAAGTAAGTTTCACTGAAATCCAAGAAAGTATTTGCATTCTGGTTTCCAGTTTTTATTAACCTGCTCTTGAGCAGGGGTTTGGACTAGATGACTTCCTGAGGTCCCTTCCAACCTGCATTTTCTATGATTCTTTCTATTGTTCTATATCTCATTTTCATTTCATGCTTGCTAGGATTTGGATAATACTTTTTAGAATACTTTGTGTGCTTTTTTAATTCTATTTTTTCATATGAAGAATACATCTTTTTCTTTTATATACTGTATCAACAAAGCCAGTGGAGGTGATAATAGGTTTGTATACATTTGCAGGTCTACTACTTATGCTCAAATCCATAGTACAGTAACTGTCTATGGAAGGTAAACAATACACTTATCAAATAATTCTTTGCAGCCTGATTGACAATTCTGTCCTCTTACTGAATTTTCAGATTGAAGCAAAGCTTCATTAGAATAGCAGATTTTGCATAGTAGATTCAATCTTGACCCAGCCACTACTGTAATTGAATATCACTTTTCATTTTACCTCTTATTTTGAGCTATCAATGTCAAAGACACCCTCAATGAGATTTTATCAGTGCTTTGTATAAGGAATTAAGTGAAAATTTAAATGTTTAAATTTGCAGTGTTCTTTTTACATGCATTTTAACTGTATCCTGAATTTTTAAATTATGCATGCAGAAAATTTAGAAGCAAAAAGAAAAATCATTTTATAGAAAGAAAATCATCTAGATAAGAGTCATTAAAATAAATAAATATAAAGCTTTTACCTTAGTATTATAATCAATTTCCAACAACTGTTTCCATAAACCTTGAAGAGAATTGTCTTTCCCTGAAAGAAGGGTAACTTTGGGAAGGTTAACTTACATGGTAGAACAGTTTCATGTTTGCTTATGTCTCGTTACTGAGTAACCAAATCTTAATTCATTTAAAAATGTTAAGAGCCTGCTTGTAGCTTCCCCTGAGTGAGCCTAGGGATTGGGGGAGGGAGAGAGGCGTAAGAGGTTCAAAATCACCCCTGGCCACTGCTTTAATGTCTGAGTGCAGATCTTTCTCCTGTCTAGCATTTCTTAGGGCACACTGGACCAGATCCAAAAAAGGATTTAAGTGCCTAAATTTCAACTTGGGTCAAAAAAGTGATCCACAAAATCCTGCCTCGCGTGACAGTAGGAACTTTGATGTGGGAACCAAACTTATCAGTTTTAGATGCAGAAAGGAGCTCCTGTTGTTTATGCAGCAGTACAGCCCCAAACCCAGTAGGACTGGTATCTATTGCTGCACTCAAGTACTTCAGCACTGGTGCCCTGGTGAGCAGTTTTTTCAGATGTTTAAATACCATCCCTCATGCTGTGGCATTCAGGCAAGTTCAGCAGTTTTCCCGGGAGTTGTTCTAAAGGATTTGCCCTCATACCACTATATCATCTATCTAGCATTCAACACTATCAGCAGATGGTTGGGGTGACTTTAGGCATTTCTCGCTGACAGGTGTTGTGTTCCCTGCAAATGACCATACCTCTGACAACCTAGATAAGATCACTGGAAGAAAAGGACATAGGTACTCTGACTGCAACTCTGCTTTGCAGTCTCCTTTCTGAGTCTTATTTGTATCTATTTATTTTAAGTTAAAAGCTTAACAGTGGAACTATAAAACAGAATCTATTGCTGATGCACAGTAAAGTATGTTCAGTTACTGACTGGTTTAGTCTGAATGGAGGTTTCCCCTTCCCATTTATAAATTCCAGTACAGTACAGTGTAGAGGAATTTAGTGTATGGACTTAATGTCTTATCAGTGTGTACATTTGACTGCTCAGCTTAGCCCAAAACTTCTAAACCTGGCAGTTGAGTGCTATGGAGACATTTTAGGAAGAACATTGAAAATATTCATTTTTTTTTCTAATCATTAATATACAAAAGCTAGCTAGAAATCTATTTTCAGTGTATATTTATTGCCAAACTAGACCAGGAGCCGGCAAGGCACTCGGGGCAGAGAGGGGTTAACAGAAGCCAGGAACAAACATGAAGTCACAAACTTGGAAAGCAGGACCCAGAGAAGAAGAAATCAGAAAAAAGTAGGGCCTGGCATGTGCAGATCAAAGTTAAGGTTTTACCAGAAGTTAGGTAGCGGAGGTCAAAGTCAGGTATCCATTTGGTTGCCACAGTGTCAAGCCAAGGGTTGAAACAAGTTTGTGGTCAGGGCATCTGTTGATCAAGGCCAGGCAGTCCAAGCTAGGAACAAGGCTAGAGGGTGCAGGACAGCAACACCTGACAACTCTGTTGCTAGGAGAAAGCTTTAGAGCAGGGGTGTCACACATACGGCCGTGGAAATAAATTTTTGTGTTGGGCTTCTTCCCACAATGTGGCTGGGGCTTCAGGACTGTGGCTCTTACCAAATGCCCGGGATGTCAAGCCTCTTTCTGCCAGGTCCTGGACTGGCTGGAGTGAGCACTGCATGAGAGTAAGTTCTATGGCTCAATCTTGCTCACAAAGCTAGACCCATGCCGTTCATCCAGCCCTCAGGATCAGTCGAGCAGACACTCCCGCTTTAGAGAAAGTGGTAGGATTTTATAGCCCTCTCCATAGGCTTGTAGCTCTCATTGGGAATCTCATAGGAAGACTCAGGCTGAGCTGGAGCATTGGCCAGCTGCTGAGTGGTGCTATAGCTTAGGCTTCCACCTGTGGGTGTGGAAATAATGTTTTAAATCACTGGGGTCCTAACAATATTGTTCATAGACACTTACCAGCATCCTTTTAAAAATCCACGCTATTTTGTGACATGTCTCCAGGGGATGAAAACATAACAACATAGTAATTCTGGTATAATTATACTGCTATAGTTATGGTAGTATATCTTCCTATGTGAACATACTTTTTCCAGAATAATCATGTGTTTTCTCATTTTAGTTTTTCAGTCTTCCAAACAGTATAGGCTCAACTGAGATATGCTTATTCTGGAATAAGTCTATCCATGTGAGAGTATAAACCACTATAGTATTATCATTGTTTTGGTATTTTTTTCTGTGGAACAAGCTTTTAATGAGATGGTTTATTTGGGATGCTTTCCATTGTGACAGGTAATTCCATACATTTTATTCTATTGCTTACATTTGGGTATGGGTCTAGGAAATTAGAGTTACTTACTGAGTAAATTGAATCTTTTCAGTCTCCAACGAAATACAATTGAAATTGCCATCGGAATTGTATTTGGGATTGTTCAAGGTGCCACAATTGTTCAGAGTAAAGGGAGAGGAAAAAGGCTTATATGTAGAAACAGAAAGCACATCTCTGTAAGTAATATTGTTTCACCTCCTTTCTGTACTAAAACACAGGTTTCTAGACTAGAGACAGACATTCAGCATAAGGCAAGCAGTAGCAGAGTAGTGTGTTTCCCACAGTGAAGCCCACCATAATGATGCATTTTTCCTTTTTTTCTGCATATTATGTACAGGTTGTTAAGGATTAAGTCATTCTACTCTCTGATGCCTCGAAAGTTTAACAACTACCCTTTCTAGGTGTGACGGGGGCAAACTCCCAAGCCTGGTCACAGTGTCCGCCTGCACACCTGTCTTTGGCCATGCTGCCTGCCTTACTTTCCTGCCACACCTTGTTGCTAAATAATTAAAATTGTATTAGGTGGGAGGCTGCCCTTCGAGCAATCTGCTGTTCACCAGTGGTAAACTCACAACTCCGACCTCCCTTTCATCGTGTCCCATTTCTCGCAGATGTATCCGTGAGTTGTGCTATGCTCCAGCCTGAGGACTGGCCCAACTCAGCACAGTGTTAAGCCTCTCTCACGCTGCCCTGTTCAGGGCCTCACACATACTGCCCCCCTCTCACTGGGGCCTCTACCACTCTGCATGCTCTCACCAGGGCTCTTTCACTCATGCTTCTTACTGGACCACATTCATTCTGCCCTGCTCCCTCAAGCGACCACACAGGCCATCAGGTTTGTCTTTGTATTCCTTGGCGAGCCCTGGCGCAGCCTTTTGGGCCTCTCCTGTGACCCTCATCTCTGTAGTAGCCAGGCAATTAACCAAACACTGGGCTAACTCTGCCACTGACCCCTCATCAGGTAACACAGCCCGGTTGTTCTCAGTTTGGGGCTAGTGACTTGCCCCTTTCTCTTGTGGCTCCCTCTCTGCCACCTCTCTTGGCCTCAAGCCCACTTGTGGTCTCAGGTGCCCAAAGGCTTACCTGAGCCTCCCTGCCCCTTTATTCACAGGGCTTCAATACACTCATCCCCCTTCTCTGGAGCTCAACGTACTACTTGTCCCCTCTCTGGGGCTCTGGCGTCTTACACCCCCATGGGCCTGCCTGGTCCCACTACTCTCCAAGGTCTTACACCCCTACAGGCTCAGGTGCTCCTCCCTGAGTGTGACTAGCCCTTCTCCCCTCCAGTGTTATAACCCACCAGACTGGTGAGGGCTGGGGTTTTAAGGTACACCTCCCCACCTATCACCAGGGAGATAACTGGCCTGGCATTTCTTGGGGATTCCCTTGCCACACAGAATCCTACCAGGCCACTCTTTCCTGGCAGGGTGCAGTTTCCAGTCATACCCAGGACCAGGAGGTTCCTGCTGTCCCCATAGCTCCTGCCCTTACCTCCAAAATGTTCCCTGAGCAGCAATGCAGCCAGATGTTGCTCCCTTACCTGCTGGCAGCAAACTGCTGCTCCAGCTCTGAAAGCCAGGATATTAAAATGGCTGCCTTATTGTGGCTGGCCTGAGCCTGTTTGCTCCCTGCTGTCCTCTTTAAAGTGGCAGACACTAAAGATGCTCTGCCACCCACCTTCCCCCTTAAAATGGTTCCTAGGGGAAGCCTTCTCTGCTTCTCACAAAGCAGGCTCACTTAGAGCCTGCAACAGCCCTTAAGTGGTGAGCACCCCAGTGGTACTCTGCTACACACCTTCCCCCTTAAAATGACTGCTCAGGGGTATCTCCCAGCTGCCCTCCATGAAGACTCTTCTCCAGCCTGCTGCAGCCCATACTAAGTGGTGAGCACCCCAATTGTGCTCCACCACACTAGGGCTTTGTTAATTAGTACATTGATCCATATGTATTCAAGATATTGTGATTCTGGGGCATCAGTAGCTCTAAAACAAGCAGTAATGTCTTTAATGCAGAATTCCATCCCCATACACACATCTTTTGTGGCTATTTTATCCTTCCTAAATAGGCTATATAACCTGCAATGTCAGTATTCCAACCATACATATCATCACACCAGACTTCTGTAATGCTAATTATTCTCCATGGCTAGAGACAGACATTCAAAAAGCCTGTGCCTGAATTGATTCAATCTTTGCAGGTTAGTCTAACCTGGCTGGGTTAAATCAGTTTTGTAACCAGAGCAACATCCCAGAAATGCAGGCACATCCCTGCAGTGGCTCTGGGTAGAAGCTGGGAGGTGCTAAAGCAGCTGTCCCTTCCCTTCCACCAGGCTGAGCTGAAAGAGGGTGTGGCCAGGCCCTGGCAAGATGCTCTGATTATTCCACCCCACCCCAAGCAGCCCAGCAGGGCATGTTTATCACCCCTAACTCAGTGTTTATCAGCCCATTAAGAAAACAGAACCTCTCTCCATTAACTAATGGAGCTCTTCTTAAACAGCTCTTCCAAGGAAGAGGTAAGCTAGCTACCTGTTGATTAACTCCAAAAAGCCTGTCTGCCTGTCATTTCCCACAGCATGGACCATAGCCAGCATGTGGTCTGCTAGCTAATGCTGAGGTGTCTGGGTATGGCAGAAAGGAGGGGGGAATAATCCCTGCTTAGCAGGGAGAAGCCAAGTGGATGCTCTGTGCTTGCAAGTTTCTGCTGGAGCTCTGGCCAGGGAGCAGAGGGGAAGGGCCAGCCCTGCTGTGGAGTAGAGAGCCCCACCCAGCCCAGAGAGCATGCTGGGATGCTGGGGGTGTCTGGTTTATCTTAAAACAGCAAGGGGTCTGGAATAGACATTGCATAAACTGGTTTGAGCCAAATCAGCTAAGTCTGATACTACATTGAACCAGGTTTATCTCAAACCGGTTTCAGCCATTTTCAAACTTGTTTATGTGCACTGAACATCTGTTCTGTTACAGGTTTAAACCAGTTTCTGATTAAACCAGTTTCACTTAAGCCAGTTTATATGTAACGTCTGTCCCTAGCCCTAGTAATTGTCATTCCTGATCACATCATTGCTTTAGCTAATCAGGTGTG